ATCCCTCAAATCTAAAGTCCTCAATTGCCTTATCTCAAATTTCTCATACTCAAATCAAATCCCTCAAATCAAATTCCTCAAATCTTATACACATACCTCTCAAATCCAATTCCTACATCAAATTCCTCAAATCAAAATCCTCCAATCAAAATCCCTCACATTCTCATATCACTTTTTACTTCCCTTATTGCAAACTCACAGAAGCATGCAGACTTGTGCTTCTATCAACACCACCAAAGGTTCTATTTTTCATACGTCCTCTCAAAAATCCGCATGGATTATCGACTCAGGTGCTACAAATTTCATGACTCACTTACCAAGTTGGGCATTTGTGACGTATATGCACAAACTTGAGGAGGAGTGTTGAAGTGAGTCTCCTAATTAATCAAGGAGATTTATTTCCTTGATTAATTAAGGGATTTACTTTCATTTTTTTATATAGTTGTCAAATCATTGTATAATTAGGAGATATTTTCCTAATCTTTTACTGGATCTAATTTCTTGTAAAGTACTCATGTAAACTCTTATATATACCTCCTTATGGAGAAGAATAAGAATATGAACCGTCTGATCTTGAAGCTCAGTTACACACTTTGTAACAAAAGATAGGTGGTATTCCCGTTTAACCCAGCAACATAAACCCATTCTATTTTTTAGTCGAACATAAACCCATTCTCATCTTTCATTTTTGGTACTCCCATTTTAATTAAAAACCACAGAAATTTAAGAAAAATTGTGACTAAGCTATTGAGTTTCCATGGCGTTTAAGCTAGAAATATATCTCATTCCCATTCTTGTCTCCATCTTCGGGCAACTTTTGTCTAATTGTACAGTGGCAGCTGTTTTTTGGGTGATTTGGTTGGAGAGAAATAGAAAACTTTGTTAGAATTATAGTGCCAATGAAGAAAGCTTCTGGGAAACAGTCAGGTTCCAGAAATTTTATTGATTGACATGGCATGTCTGGAGAATGAATATAGACAATTAAATTTGTTTGTAGAGTAGCGAAAATTAGTCCAGATAAGATGCGAACCATACCGCAAAGGTTTTACCATCACGACCACAATTCGAACAAGTAGTATGCATCCTAAATGGGCCAGTTTGCATGAAAGTCTGGATATGCAGAAAATCAGAGTTAACAAGAGCAGATGATGTGATATTCTTAGTGATCAAATAACTGATAAGGTTTCTGTTCCGAGAAAAACTGACCGTGCCAGACCCTTTACAGCGCTTACATGATTCAGGTCTGGTGCCAGGAGGAACACCACTTCCACCTGCAAAGATCTAAAAGCACGAGAAATTAGAAAAGAGAGTTTCCTTCCAATACTAATGAGCCAAAAACAACTAAATACTAGACAAATTTCAAAAGTAGCAAAGACATTTAGAAGTCAGTAGAATCAGTATACCCTTCACAGGCCACTGCAGCTGGAAATGTCACAGTTTCAGCACATCCCTCGACAGCTTCCATAAAGGATGGTTCCAATGAAACCTGTGTATTAATGAAGATGGATAAAACTTTTGATATCTTGACCACCAAATTCTGACGGAAAATGATGATCTAATTTCCCTTGGAAACAACGCCCACCAATAACATGCACATACCACCCAAAGTGAATATAACATCCACAAAAAGAAAGAAAAAAATGCAAGAGAATAATTAGGAAACATAGATGGTACTTCACCTTGCTGTAGAACCTTACTTTAAGAATAAAGTCATTACATCATTATCAAAGATATCTTTAAACAGATTCCTGAAATCATTGGGAGAGCCATTGCCTTGATCTTCAAATTCAGAATGGCCAACCTGCAAAAGTGTGCTTGATGACATAAGTGCAGACATAAATAAACAGAAGTGAATTAGACAAGGAATAAGTAAAAGTATAGTACAACAAGAGTCCTTCAGTTGAGATGATCATGAAGCTAAAAGGTTTACTTGCCATCAAATTATATATATACTAAAACTGAATAAAGTTACTGTTCTTAGACTATTCATTTTAATAGTGAAATGCCGTTGGTGCCCCTGCTTAACTGGTTGCCCTCTTACCAAATGAACAGAGCAATGTCTTTTTTGCCCTGATGACCAACGACATAACCCTTTTGCCCTCTTATTCTCTGGTTCTCCTCCTCCAGCATTACGGCTCACTTCTCTTCATACAATTCCCACAATCAAGAACCGAATTTTGATCGCATACTCCAAGCAAACTGACCTTCCCCAACTCTTCCTCAGCAGAACAACTCAAATTTTCTGATATTTCACACTCCTCCTTCTCCACACAACCAATTGGCACAGACCCATCGGCAGTTTATTCAGACCCACAACCAGTTGGGTCATACACATTAAGAATTGGCCTTTGGCCTTCGCCGCCATCTTCCTCTCCAATAGACTCTTCTTCAACCACCTCAACCTTGACCTCCCCTGTTTCTGCCGTATCAGGGTTTGGTATATCCTGAAACCAGACTCAAAATCCAAGACGAATCAACAAACGTGAAGTCTCGGGGATCAACAGGGGCAGGTGGGTCCTTCGAATTCTTGGTCCTCTGTCTGGCGTTCGTCTGACAGATTTCCGATCTGCGATTTCTTCCATCGTTTCTCTTCAGGTTTGCATCCCCTCAACTTTTTAATGGATTAATAGCTTGCTGATGGGTTTCTGAGAGGTGGAGTTGATGTTGTTGCATTATCTGACAAATTTGAATGTTTTGATTAAAGAAATACATATGTTTACGCAGGAATATTAATAGTCATGCTACAATTTGTTTAAATTAACATCTAATTACCAAAAATAAAAACAAAAAATTCATGCTATAATATATGCAACACGTTGTTAATCATATCACATTATGCAAAACATGTATCCAGGTTTTGTAATAAACATTGGTTAATTAGCATGGAAATGACTATAGAAAGGGTTTGTGTATATGAGTGTGTTGTTCTGTTTTGATAAATGGGAAGGTGTTTTGGCTTGATTCTCTTATACCTATTTAATAATTGTCACAATTGTTCAGAATTTGTTTTCAATTGGTTCAATAGATTGAGTTTATACTTTTGTCCATCAAATTAATAGAATGTTTGATGTACTGTTGTTCATCAAGTTCTATTTTTTTAAACTTAATTATGTCATAATAGTTATTGCCCTCACTCAAATTTTTCCATTTATATATACTAACACCTACCATTTTCCAAATTTATGCCAACAGGGTCAAAACGTCTACAAATGACGAGAAAAAACGAAAACCACCTATACAGCAGAGCTAGCAAGACCTAGATCCCCTTCCACTACCCAGTACTATATGTATAAACACCTGTCCAAACTCTTTTGAACAATGAGAAACTAAAAGTTGCTCATATTTTGATGTTTTTATAACTGCTTGATCTATTAAAATATGCTCAATATTTTCACATAACGAGCAACGCATAAAACATGTTATTAGTTTATTTGTTGTAACTTAAGCTTGCTAAACTAAGCATGATACCATTATTTAGATCTCCATGTTTATATAAATAGTACCATTTTCCCTGGATATTTTCACAACTTTATACACATTTCACACGATTTCAAAACCCGCAGCATCGCGCGGGCACTGTTACTAGTGGATTTCTAAAGACTTAAAACATTATCGTTTATAAAATGCCTCTGACCTTCACAATGAACAATATCCACCAATTCATCTTAATTTCTTCTCAGTGTGGAACATGTCGAACTATAACCCATTTTCGGTTTTCTAGGTTATAAGAGAATTTCTATGTTTACTGAGAAGCACTTTTCATTTGGAGGGGGGTGAGAAGGAAAAATTTTGTGGAATTGCTGTGTGATTACTAATGTTTGGTAGCATAGATGAACGAAACATAAAGGGGAATGGGAAGGGATTTAGTGTAGTGGGCTTCACTGTCATTGGAATTTAGGAATGTATGTTTCTTCTTATTCTATGCCCACAGTTGGAGGTCTTCTAAGATTGCTAGTGTTAGTTGAGCTGTTTTGTATTCTAACTGTGACTTTTTGGATTTGGTTTTGGAGGCTATGGGACTGAAGACCACATAAAACTCTGCATCAATATCAACTCATGAGGAATGCATACCATGTATATAGCATTTCAGGACTTGGTTCCAACTGAGGAATTGAACTAGCCACATTACATTATTGATTAGAAGGCATGTTATACCAGGATGGGTATTTCCTCTTTTCTTCGTTCAGCCCATCTATCATATGTTCTTTTTTATGTACAGTTCCTTCAATAGCCTCCGAGCATCAGCCTTCTTTCCTGGTCTAGCAAAGGTAGAACTGATGCATCAAAGGGTACTTTCACATGGAACATACCCTTTCTCATTCATATCAGTTAATAATCTTTTTGCCTCATCCCGATATGACCTTTTCAAATTCCTCTCCAGCTCTGGATGCTCTGATAGCTTACACCAGCCACAGATTAGTATGTTGTAAGTTGAAGAGTTAGGAGAGGTCCCTCTTGTCTGCATCTCATTCATAAGCTCCCTAGCTGGGCTCATCTTTCCCACTTTAGCAAAATCACTAATAAGAACATTATAGGTGCTAGTTCTGGGAACAAAACCTGTCCTTACCATTTCACAATAAAGTCTTATAGCTTCCTTTTTATTTCCAATCTTACCATGGCCAGAAACCAAAATATCATATGTAGAAGCATTAGGAACAAAGCCTCTATTCTTCAATTCACCAAATAACTCTTCTGCCTTTGTCATCAGACCAGCACCTGAAAGTCCCCCTAAGAGAAAATTGTACGTTTCAATACTTGGAGAAACTCCCACAGCCAACATTTGCGAGTATGTAGCAAAAGCCCTTTTCAGATGGCTGCTTATGCAATATCCACATATAAGGCAATTGTAAGTATCAGTATCTGCTAGAAATCCTCCTCCAGTCATCTCTTTCAGTACTGAGGTAGCTTTCCTGGTCATTCCTAGCCTGCATAAGATAGTGATGAGATTGTTATAAACATCACGAGTGAGGTTAAGCCCCATACTTACAAGCTTATGATGCATCTGCAAAATTGTATCAGCTCTCCCACTCTTTGAAGCAGCATTAAGCAAAATTCTATGAGTAAATGAGGTAAGGAGAAAACCAACAGCCAGCATTCCATCTAAGACATCTAGTGCTTTTTCAATCTCATTTTTATCACAGAGTCCTCTTAACAGAAGGTCACAAGTTATTGAGTTCGAAATTAACCCTTGACACTTCATCTCATGCCAGAGTTTAAAAGCATTTTCAGTGTCACCCTCTCTGCAGAATGCATTAATCATGGTATTGTATGTGGCACAGTTAGGAGCCAAACCCAACTCTTTCATTCCAATACAGACAGATTTTGCTTCATATTTCCCAAGCTTCAACAGACCATTCATTCACACACTTTACAATTTTGCAGGTGCTGATTGTTGATCTGGGTTACTTATGTGTTTTGCTTACTTGTTCATAGGTCTATGACTAGTTGTTGACTAGTTATATTGTCTCTAGGATTATTTGATTATTGTTGTTATCAATCTGTTTGAGTAAGCTTTAAATTTACCCCTTCCATCTAAGTACCAATTTCAATTGGTTTCAGAGCGTCAACTCTTAACGCAAATAGAGAGGTCCTAGGGCGCTAGTTGGTGTTTAGGTGGTGTTACCATGGAAAGGGAAAGAGTTGTAGGCTCTTGCAACTCTCCTCCATACTCCTTAGCTAGGCATATAGTAGTCATACTCAAATTCAGAACTTGCTTTCGCTTGCACGCAGCAAAAGAATCACAATCACAATCGAAAGCGATAGGAATTATCACTACTACAAAAAGTGGAAAAGACGACCAGAAAAAGACGACGGTAGAAGAAAAAACCATCGTTGTGTTTAAAAAGACGACGGTAACAAAAAAACCGTCTTGGATAAGTGACTTAAACAACTAAAAAATGGAGGTACTATTGAATATTTTTTTATAACGATGTACACAAATAAAAAAGCGTCGTCTTTTTAAAAAGGTTTTCTTCAGAGTTAAAATCTGACCAAAAAACGACGACAACAGATATGACAAGCGTCGTCTTTTAAAAATCAAGTGTCCTTTTTTTGGTAAAGACATGGTTGTTTTGAAAAAACTGTCGTCTATTATATGTAGAGATGACGGTTTTTTTTTTAAAAGGGTCGTCTATTATGAAGTAAAGACGACGGTTTTTTTAAAAAAAGGGTCG